ATATTTTTCGATGCATCTTCCATTTGCTGGTATTTTAATAATATTTGTATTAAAATATAATTATAATATTAAATAAATATTAAATATAATTAAATTATAATGTTTGTTTCTCGTGTTTCATAAATACTATGGCTCGCATCTAAATTTAGACTTTTTATTTTATTTCCAACTTTGTATATGCGCAGATAAAGTTCCATATCTAAAACGTTCAAAGTATCTAACATTTTATATGTATTGTACTCATTAGCAAACAAATATGATTAATGGAATGCAGAATATTTCTTTTATATGTCAATGATTAGACTCCTTTTATGGATGAGTATAACAATAGACTCTCACTGTACATGTTGAGGAAACGGGTGGTAACGTCTCTCTTATTGCTGCCATACATCGCATTTCTACCGTTACGTTACGCAACTTCTTCCTTGGACGCGTAACACACGTATGTATGTATACATATATGTATATATGTATGTACTCTTGCATCGTCAGGAGTCACAAACGAAAGCGCGTTTCAAACAATGTTGCGTATATATGCAAGAGAAGAAAATTGTTTTCGAAATTATTTTTAAGAACAAAATTATATTGTCGGTATTTTGAAGGATAGTAATCGCCGCCATTATGCATATTCTGCGTAAAAAATGCGATTCGCACGTTTTAAAATGGTTTACATATCATCGAGAAGGTCGCTGTATTTATCTCTAATTTACGCATTCTCATTCTCAACGTTAATGTTATGCTTCGTATAATTACATGCAAACAACATTAGTTGTGGTCTTTTGAGAAAATGATCTAATAATAATATAGAGAAAAGATTTTGCAACACCGATGACTCGCATAGATTGGCATACAGTTGAATTATACATATTAGCTATTGGAAGACAATCACGTGTGCGATAAGAAGATAAATGCTAATGAACAAGTTCTATTCTTGCAGCAAGACTAGAAGCGATTTTTGTCGCACCTTTTGTCGCTTTAATTCTATTCATTTTCACGCAATTTTAGTTTCTTTCTTAAAAAAAAAAACAAAAGAAAAAAATAAAAGAGGAGTAGATGACAGTGTGCGCGTAAGCATTAATATTTGTAAAAATTCCTGTAAAATGTCATAGATCACAGCGCGATCATTTAACTGTTTGTCAAAAGTCAAAGTACAAAATACGTTTGTCTCGATAGCAAAACAGGTATATATAGATTTACGAACATTGGTACATTTTATGCGACGTTTCTAACATCATCTGTTCTGCGTCTGTTCTTTATTCGAGTCGCTTGACTTGCGACGACGTATACAAAGGAATGCGCGCATCGTACACTTGCGAAAAGTCGCATCAAGCTTTTGTCTCTCTAGAGCTACTGAGGCGATGCTTCCGCGCTGCAATTGTTCGTTGATAATAAACCGGATAAACTGATAATACGATCTGAGAATTTTCTACGTGTTTGTGGATCGATCGGAGACTGCTAAAGACACATTGTAACGCGACAAACATCGTCCAAATATTTTATCCGCGATATAGAATGAATTTGGAATAAGATTTTATCCGCGCATCTTCTATATATTTAAATAATTACATATGAGATTTTCGAGATAACTTTTAAACGTGTTCATCATTATTCAAAAAGTATCGGTAATCATTCAATTAATTATCGAGATTATTATTTACATGGAATTATTCACACAACACCTATTTATTATCTATGTCTGACACACTTATTCGTATGAAAATTGGAATAAAATTATTTCGATTCCATTATCGAAATTTTCGAAGAAAGAGATCCACACACACATGAATCTTTTTCTCAAATATCTTTATAATATCGTAAGAGATTCGCAGAGAAATTTTATCGATTTTGCAATCGCAAAGATAGATCTGCCGAAAACTCGAGGCGCCATTCGCGTGCCGGGGTGCGAAATCAGATATGTAGTACATGCACGCTTACATACATCGTCGCCACGGACGCTGTTTTCCTCGATTGATAACCGGATCCGCCCGCAATGGGATATCCCATGACGGTGGACGATTTTTCGCGGGGCGATTTTTCGGACGCGTAGGATCACAATAGTGAGTGCAAGAGAGGAGATCGCGATGCGGTGAGTCAGCGGCGAGTCGATAACCGGCTTCACGAACTCTCCTCTCTCTTCGCTATCTCTCTCTTTCTCTCTTTCTCTCTCTCTTGTTCTCTTCCTCTCTTTTCCTCATTCTCGGTCGCTTCAGTGCATTGTACAGTGGCACACACAAAGGATCTTATAGATTGCATATATATATAT